AATTCCAGGAAATGAACACGAGAACCAACGAAAGCCGAGAACAAGAAACAACCACTACCGGGAGACACGCTGAGGAGAGGTACAAGTTTCGAAAATCGATTACACTTTCCAGGTTCTTTCTTTGCTCTGACCTCGGACATTCGTCGCAGCTCGAGGACATCGCACCAATGGTGATGGCCAAGCTGGAACTTTCGAGCTCTTTTGGGCAAGAGAGAAGCGAAGGAAGCATCTCATCAGACACCCAGCCAATTGACAGCCGTGAAAACATTTAAATCTAATATGACATCTGTGACGAAATGTTTACCGGATTAAGCATGTTGTTACTGTGTTGAATCTGCCTTCCTCCGGTCGATTTCACCTCAGTACTCCGTAGCTATTTATGTCGTCGTCGGTTTTTGTCTGTCTTCGGTTCTTAGAGTGAATGTTCAGTTGGAACGGCCATGAGCATAAATATAAACATAAATTTTAATTTGGTTTTCTTCCACCGCGTATTGAGTCCGATGAATAAGAGCAGAGGATACGAGTCCCACGATCAGGTGGGAAACTCTTTTAAGGTTTTCGTCGAGCAAACGTAAAGCAAAATAACATTGCTTCAAAATAAATTACTCGTGCTGGATATAAATCATACGTTGTAAATTCTTGGAAAAGCCTCGGAAAAGGAAGAAATCGTTCAAATTAGAATTTAATGTTGTTGGAATTTGAGCGATACTCTAAGATCAGCATGCGCAGTGCAGCCATCATTTGGACTTCTGCAAATGACTCAGCTCGTTTAACATATGTCCATCGGTTCTGATCACCTGTTTCCTAGCTCAGACTATCATTGTTAGCCGTTTATCATTTCCTGGTAGCGGGAGAAGTGGCTAGAATTAAAAACTCAAAACACATTCTCGAAATGAAAATAATTTTAATGACTTAAGCCACGCCTATACACTTCTTCGCGCTCTCATAGGTGGAGTCATCCAGAGAGCGCTGTTGGGGTGTGTTAAGTCGTTTCGGTCGTTTCTCAAGTGACAAAAAAGTAAACAAGCATCTCCTTGAAGACTGACTATTGCACTTGGTTGCGCGCGCACGCGCTGGTTGCTGACAAAACCGTTATGGTGAATGTTTAATTTGACAGCTATTTATCTAGCATTGTCAACTTCCGCTTCACACCTCCCCCGGTACGCTGGAGGCGGGGAAATAGAGAAAGCACGGTATAGATGAAAATTACCAGCCGATGACGATCAGGCTGATAAAGCAATAAAAGAATAGCACAACAACAAGTAATTGTATCTCATCACTAGAAAAAAAAAGAACGACTAGACTGCAATAATTACGTAGGCATTTTTTAGATTCTTAAACCCCTTATATACATATTACTTGTTCATACTAAGAAAATTTCAAAGACCACCTTCTTCGCATATGAAAAATTAAAAAAAAATCTAGCACCATCTCCCACTCTATGTGATTACGTAATTATTTGATGGCTTCCTTAAATGTGGAATAAATTTTATATTATGAAATTGTGTAGACTTGAAACGCCACCTTAATTTTGTGTACACTGTTGTTACGTAAATTCACTGCGACCAGTATTTTGATTCATTGGGGTATACTTCGTGTCCTTAGCTTAATGCAGGTCGTATTACTCTATCACTATTGATAATTGATGAAGTATTCGATTTTATTGTTTGTTGCACTCATGATTCATAATAACCATTCAAAATCAGGACAATCTTCTAATGAAAACAGTTATCGGCACATTAAAGTTATACGAATCATAAGCGTCATTAAACATATGCTGGGTCATTAGGTCGAATGGTTATTAGGCCGAATTTCGGAAAATTATTGCTTAACACTTGCGAAGAACATTTCATGGTCTGAAAAAGAGAATAACCAGCAAATAATAAATAGGTCTCTGCCATAAAATAATGAAATTGTATATTTTGGTCATGGTTCCAAAATTCATGAGAACAGTAAAACTCGCTAAAAATCTGCTATTTATCTAGTTTATCTAGATGAATGCGTCATTGGGACGGCACTAATGGATATTTTTGGTCGCTATTGAAAATCTAATCGATATCTGAATTTATGTATGGGCCCAAATTAGGGGAATTTAAACCGACATTACATCCATTTCCCCTATTTAAATTTCCCTCAATACCGAAAAAAAACAAAGTCCCATACATTGGTGTGAAAAAAGGACGAGCAGCTTTTTAAATATGGAAAATTGATGTTATGGCATGTTTTAATCGTGATGCCAAAAATCACAAAATTCGAAAGAACTGCCATGTTAGAAGGTAAGAAAAATGGTTTAAAACATTGCATTTTTAATGAAATATCCTATAACTTTACGCCAAATCTAGCGATGAAAAAGTGTGTTCAAAATATACACAGTTCGAAAAATTAATGTAAATTTCTGTTCAATATGATGCACATAAAAGGACCGTAAACCAACATTTATCATATATGTTTACATTATAAACCGTGTAAAGTTTTGAAACTTTTCATGAAATGTTGCAAATATTGTATACAATAGCCCAACTTTGTAAACAATATTGCTTACAAGTTGCTCGTTTGTGTGAAATGAATAATTGCAACACAATAAAAATTCAGAATTTTTTGCTGTGTATAAGATATAATACATCATACAATATGCCCAGGTAAGTCAAAAAATGTTCAAACCCGAAAAATTCCAAGTCCGGACCGAGAATTGAACCCAGCCGCTTCCAGCATGCACAGTTTGAAAAAGTAGTGTAAATTTCTGTTCAATATGATGCAAAAAAAATAACGTCACATATCATATAAGTTTACATTATAAACCGTGAAAAATTCTGAATCTTTTCATTAAATGTTGCAAATATTTGTATACGTGTATTGCCCTTCTTTGCAAACAACATTGCTTACAAGTTGCACGTTTGCGTGAAATGAAATACAAGTTTACGTAAATGAATATTTACACCACAATTAAAATTCAGAATTTTTTGCTGTATGATTTTGCTTTCTAGCAGTGCATTTACTGAATGAGGTAAAGACACAGACGACACGAGTAAACGGGAATATCAAATCAATATCAAGTTTTACTATTAAAATTGGAGAAAAAAAATGATATTTTGCCTTTTAAATTAATCAAACTAACTTTAAGAGACAAAATATCAAAAGTAATATAAATAAATCTATGGGACCTTAACTGAGTAATATCAACGTAATATCTAAAGCATAGCAAAAATCATAGCAAATTCACATCACTTTTTGCTATTATATGTCATCATGCTATTGGTATGTTGTTAAAATTAATCAATTTAATAACAAATTAACAGTTTATTCTGCTATCGAATCAAAAATAGCTCTTGCATTCATGATACCAAAATATCAGTTGACACAATCAGCGATGCTAGTGATGATCATTAAGAGTAGCCGGCATCTATGTGTCAGTAGGAAAGAAAGATCATTGATAAACAGCGAAAACATAGGCGGCCCTATATTACTCCCTTGGGGAACACCGAAAACATTCGTGAATACTTCAAAACGAGAAGCTCAAAGTTAAATTTGTGTAACTGACCATAGACCGAGTAGAATCCATGCTGCGTCGTGAAAATGAAGTTGAAACTTTGATTTTTATATCGAAATTCCTAAACTAGTTCATGGATTTCAAAGAGCCCATTGGTGCAGTTGATGGGTAAACTAACCAGAAATTGGGTACCAAAATCAATGTGAGGTAGATGGGTTATATATAGGATTTGACACCCACAGCATGTCCTTAATTTTTTCCATGTTGCAAGATAGATCATCCTCGGTGGACATCCAGAATCTTGTTAACTCTCGGTAGACATCCCGAGACTATTAACAAGGCAAATCACGTAACATCGTTGCTTTTTCGCTTTTTGATCTGCTACGTATTCAGTATGACTGACACACTGGATTATGGTTGTAAAAAATCCTAAACTCAGTTCAAAGCATAATGTTGATTTCTATGTATAGCTGAATTCCACTGTTACCTTACACAGATGAACATTTTTCTTAGGAGATTTTAATTTGTAACTTCCTGTTTAACGAAGTTTTTCCAGTCCAATACCAGTTCCTAACTAGGTAACACAGGTCGTTAAAAATAGCGAAACATTTCTATCACCATGAAATTATTCAACATGCGTCAACCCTAACGCAATACGGTATGATCATCAACAACAGAGGACGGGTGCAAAAAAGATTCATTTTTATTTTTATAGCTACACGCACCTCGTTAATCAGCTGCCAGTTTGTGTCGAGAGTCCATCATTAAATGCAAAAGAAGTTTTTATCGTGCTCACCTTTCCTTCTTTCCACACTTACTCTCTTTTATTTTGAAACTAGCAATTTGCGCCCAGTTTTCATCCGAAGAAAAAAAAAGATGAGAAGTCAATCATACATATTCAACGGAGCAAAGTGGATGTAAGTGAAACCATGTCGCTGGATCGATAATTACACCGATGATCGATGGTTATTTTCACTGCATCTCTTATACAGCGGTGAAACATTTCGCACATATCACGTTACATATGAATGTGATAAATTTTGAGATATGATGTAGCTATCCTTCAATATCGTCAATATCTAGATGCAAGTTTAAAGCTATAGGAAAACAAGAAACTATTACTGATCATGAATGACCCGGCTGCAGAAGCTGACCAAGTTATGCCTTTTACGATGCTTCAAGATGTCGCTATCCATTTTCACTTATTTAATGACCCCTTTTCCTATCAAACTTGTCGCATACTGCTAAGAAACCGCGTATTCAAGTCAAGTTAAGTATCTCTGCACAGCAATTTGCACGCTATTCCAGTGGCTTAGGGCAACTAACCGTTTTTCTTTATTCATTCGAGATACAATCAACCAGCATCGTGCCAAAGCAGTCATCTACGATGAGGGCGATGCAGCACAATTTACGGCAATTGCCATGTTGACAAATAATTATCGTTATTATAATTTAATTTAATTATCGGAAACGTTTATTAATTCCTAACTTGTATGCTTTACCACTTTTGCAGCGCTGTAAAGAGAAGCTGAATATATTGGCTGTCTCGGTGATGAACCAATGGCCCGGTCTACGGCTTATGGTGACCGAGGGTTGGGATGAAGACCACATGCATGCCCGGGAATCCTTACACTATGAGGGCCGGGCGGTGGATATCATGACATCAGACAAGGATCGGTCCAAAATCGGAATGTTGGCACGATTAGCCGTCGAAGCTGGCTTTGATTGGGTGTACTATGAAAGCCGGAGTCATATACACTGTTCCGTCAAGTCAGGTAAGTTTAAATTTTCGCACCTATTCTTTCTGTCCAATCCAATAGTTAGATCAAGAAAAGGTAACGCATATGTGCGCCCACCGTAGCTGAAACACTACCCAGTGTCTATGACCCGATTCAAACCTTCGTCGATCCCCGGAATGGCTCGTAATTGGATACTTTTATTTTGCCGTCTTATGTTTTCTCCTATATGATATGGTTCCGTAAATATATCATTTTTCAACTTCGAAAAAGACTCCAAAGTCGCGCCGATCTTGATTGACATGATCATACTGGCTTCGGTTTACGTCGATACAAAGCTAAGTATCAAGATCACGCACATTCCACACCGTATTGCGCCCATCCGAAAGCGTCACTTTTCACACAGCACTACCATTTTCGATGCTGTCAACAAACGATCCTCGTCAAGACAGTTTTAATGAATGCAAATTGTTACCGGCCTGCAATGGCCGAAAAAAAACATGAACAGCTAACCAGAAAGCTTGTTAATTTTCTTTTCCAACCCCCAGAGTCTGCGTGAGCAGATCAGCGTCTTGTTAGTGGCACCTTCGCTTTTTTTTTTCTTGTGTCCAAGCGTTCGTGTTTCCGTGCCAAACTACATGCTGCATCCATGATCTGCTGCTGGCGATTTTCGCACATTTTTTGTACGGAGACTTAAATGACCGTTCGTGGTGCAAATTTTCACCATGGTTATACATGGTAGTGAAAAAAAATATCATTAATACAGCTACTTTCGTTTCATTGAATTTAAGTTCATTTAGACAAGTCCAATATTTGTAAAACACTAGACTTACCCAAATGTGGGTTAAGAAAAACATATATTTAGAGGAGGACAATCTTTTTTTGCACTACGGTGGCTTCCTGTTTTAGGCAACACGTGTTTCTGGATTTCTCTACTCGTTATAAATTCAACGTTCTTTAGGGATCATAGACGGCTGTTAATGTATTAAAAATTATCCTTAATGCGCTTATAAAAAGGGGGGGGGGGGATCTGAATAAATTATCTACAAAAAACGGTAAGGCACTGTACTTCAAAATATGACCGTAATGACTCGAGCCTATTATAATGAATGGAATGGAGTTCTGCCGTAACTGATACCAATGCGTTTATGGGCTAGTGCCATACCATAACTGGTGCACTTACCATTAATGTTAAATCTCGTTCATTACGCTCTAATGCGAGAATTACCTAGCATGCGAATCTTCAAACAATTCTCAAGCTTGAGATTTTCATGCATTTTCACGCCACCTCACTTTGCTAAAATTTAAATCCACCCTAAAACACATGAATACGGGTCAAACGTCATTTGAGAACATGCTCAATAGGGTGGGTCAAGTTTGTATGGTGGATCACAATCCCCTTACAAACTTTAAACTGCTCACGCAAATCCAGATCGTAGCCAAATTCGTTCAAATTTGGCACAGTTGTTGGGGTCTTCATTGCAAATCGAAAGAGCAGGGGGTTGTGATCAACCATACAAACTTGATCACCCTATTGACCATACCTGACATTTAGATTAAACAAACTATCAAATCGATTCGATTTCTGTACAAAAAGATATTTACCTTTTACATTAGGCCAAGTGCCCCACCCATACCAACAATCTTATATATACATCGGTAGTTACGTGGAGCAAGTTACGTAATTACGTTGCGTATGTTTATAGTACGGGGCCTCAGATAGCCTAGTCAGTAAAGGCACGGTAAACTTAACCAATTTGGCATATTCGATTCCCGGTCCAATTTAGAAAAACAGATATTTTGAAGATATATCAACAAAAGTAAATGCCGAGGTAATCAGCTGTTGGAGATTTTTCCGAGTTAGATTGAGTGTGTATAAAGCTCTCAGAACTGTGGCCATTCTTCAAGAACACTAAGTTGAGAGCAGAAGAAAGCTCGTGTAAAAACGTGAATAAAGCTTTCTCACAAATACATAGTGGTGATGACAGTGATATCTACCAAACCGCCATTTTTTCGGGTATTCCATAAACTCACATTTTTATAATGGTTGATTTAGTTATGGGTTGAAGCTCTATGGTTTCGTTAATATTTCTAATCAGTTCGATTGTTTATATAACAGTCAACCAATTGCTGTGAGTGGATACCGTTACGCACCGCACTATGCGGGAAAATGCTGTAAAAAATAAATTGAACGACAATCTGCAATATACCATCTGCAGAATGATTAAATCGGAAACCCCTAACCAAATCGATATCCGTGTGAAAATAAATGACCGATACCCTCGAAAGCGACAAATTTAAAATGTTCCTTTTTCGTCCAGACTTCCTCGAAAGTGGAAACCGCAAGCCTCTAAAGTTGTTGCCTCAACAACAGCACCACTGCCAACAGCAATGCACATATAACCTTCTCATAAGGTAGCTGACTCTCTCCCTCTGTTCCGAGCCGCCTAAAAGTTTGGGCGAAACTGACTGAATGGATTTCTCGTCATATTTACTATCTCTTTTCTACATCCACAAGCGAGTACGAGGGCATAAACACGGTTTCCAGTCCTCTTCTCCTCCATCTTCTTTTTTTATGTTCACGCCGCCTTTACGTAAAGACGGCAACAGAAAGGCAGCAAGAAAAGTGAAGCGCGCAGCGGCAGCGGCATCGGCTATATGTATGTACGTTAAAACATCAGTCGCAACAGCAGCAATACCAAAAGACAACACCAACGGCAACAGCAACAACAACAACCACCGACAACCGTTCAAAAGATACAAACAAGAAAGCGCAGAAGAATTCCAACCAATAAGATGGCGGCAGACACTCACGGCTGCGGATGCTGGTGCCACGCTCCATCATCTCCAGTAAAAAAGAACTACCTACCTGGTCAGATACCGGTAAGCCGGTTGATCATAACAAAAAAAAACTGATTGGTACGTCCAGGCTAAATTAAACCGCATAATTTTTGGTGCACATGGGTGTGTGTAACATTCGTTGATCACGCATCTGTGTAATCAAACCATTTGAAAAATCCCCTCACGATCTAGTTCTCTTGAACTATTTATGATTTCAATTAAAATTTACCGTAAAGCAACGAAATCCAAACACTTTTAAAAGTTGATTATCATATCAATGTTTACATAGATAAATATATTTCTAAATGTTCAACTACAAACTGGGTCACGTTTTGAGATATTAAAGTTTTACGTTTTAACGTGTAGATGATAACTTTTGAATATTTCCGTAACTCATAACTGTCCAATATTACACTTAAACCCTTTGATTCAAGTAGCTTGAAAGACCCCTTATACATTAATTAAGTTTGTATGTTTATTGAAGCAAACTACTAATTTAATGTGATTTATTCGATAATGCTACACCCATAGAGAAAAAGATAATTCATCTTTCACACAAAGAATAAGTATTATGAAAATCATGCATAATTTATGACTTAATTCTGTGTCAAAAGTGACGCTCATATAGGTCATTCTCAGGCTACTGAAGATTACATGATTTTTTTTCTTTGTAGTGTGAATATTTTTCACGCAACAACAGTTTTAGACTTTCATAAAGGAACCATTGAATCTTTTACAGAACAGTCGGATATAATATTTTAAGAATTTTATTAATTAAACTGCGAATTTTAAGAATTTCAATGACAACATAATCAAACCATATTTGACTGCCGGTACCATTAACGACGATTCATTTATTGATTCATAATAACAGGGTTCAAATTTAATTTCAACTTCTAAATAGTAACCCAATGAGCATACGAAAAGCGTATTTCTTGTAACCTTATTTCCTGTTATGTTTTTAATTCCATGAGCTAAATGACGATTGAGCCATTTTTAGTTTGCACGGTGTGCAGATTAGCGGAGTTCAAATTAAATGATCATATTAAAAACGGTCAGATTACCGGGGGTCCACGGTAAATGGTGGTCCTTTGTGTTAAAGTCTACAATATATTTCCGTTCTAACGCGTCACGTTTTTAAGGTAGTTTTTTTTTTTATGAATTTTATAAGCTTTTAATTAATTGGGATGTGGCATTATTGACGTGCCAGGACCATTTATAGAAAATGACTCGAAGAACATTTGTTTAATAACATTTTAAAAAGTTATTCGCGATGCTTGGCAGTGTCTTTCAGAACGCGGAGCTGCTCCATGTTGCAGGTTCACTGATCTAATAGCGAATTCGTTTATTATTCAGTTCCAACCTGGATCGGGTATCAAGATTGGGTCTGCTTGTTTTCTGACAAACGTCAGTTTGCTCGTTTGTTTTTAAAACCTAGCTCAGGTTGAGGTTCACACTGACAAAAAGTTCGGTTTCGCACTGGGTTGGAACTGGTGTTAACCCCGATAATAAACGAATTCGCTATAATACACGCTTGTAGGGTGCCTTATAAACAAAGCGGATCTACACTTTAACTAAGCAAACGCTAGGAAAGTCAAACATGGTAAAACAAAACAAAATCAGTGATATCGTTATGTATCAATAAATCATCAATAACCAGTCAAAGCGGTAAAACCTTGAATTTAAAGCCCTATGATGATATCTGACCTTTCTTGCTAATACAAATTCCAGCAAAACTAATTAAGTATGCGTATGGGAAGAGAAATAAAATATTTTTTTACCTCGTTTTTCGGTAAATCTTCTTTTTTGGCTTTATTGCGTCCCTACTATGACTTTACCTCTGTCCTAAACTTAGTGTTATTTGAGCACTTCCATAGTTGTTAAGGTGCAACATGAAAATAATACCTCCTTATTCTTTTTTTTTTTCTTTAATCATGACTTTGTTAACGTGTTAGTAAAATACATCTCCAGCGAGCACGCTCGCAAGCTCAATAAACATCCATGCATGCTTGGCATGCACAGTAGTACACACCATACTGTAGTACTGCTCATTTGTTAATAACTTTTTAGTCAGTTGTTGAAATTTGTTTTTCTTTAAAGTAGTTGATAGATTAGGACCCTAGTTTACTATAGATATGCAAAGAGTAGGTAAATATTAACATTTGAATAAACACCAATGAATTTTTGCACTTAAAGTC